CCCAATAGCATGAAAAAGGATATAGTAACTATGAAAACAGAAATAAAGAATGACATAGTACAAATAAAGAACACACTGGAAGGAATACACAGCAGATTAGTGGAAGATGAGGATCAAATCAGTGAATTACAATAGAAGACAGCATTGAAAAAATCATTCAGAGAACCAAAAAGAAAAAAACAATTAAAAAACAGGAGGACAGCTTAAGGGAGCTGTGGGACAATGTGAAACATAACAATATTCAAATAGCAGGTATGCCAGAAGAGGAAGAAAGGGAGAAAAGGATAGAAAATGTGTTTGAAGAACTAATGGCAGAAAACTTCCCTAACCTGGTAAAGGAGTAAGTTTAGGAGGTGCAGAGAACCGCAAGCAAGAAGAACCCAAACAGGCCCATGCCCAAACTTACATTGCCAAAATTTAAAGACAAAGATAGAATCTTAAAGGCTTCAAGAGAAAACCAAACTGTTACCTATAAAGAAGCTCCCATAAGGCTGACACCCAATTTTTCATCAGAAACTCTATATTCCAGAAGGGAATGGCATGAAGTTCTCAAAGGTAATGGAGAGCAAGGATTTGAAACTAGATTAGTATATCCAGCAAGGGTATCATTTAAAATAGATGGTCAAATAGAGAGCTCCTAAATAAAAATAAAAAATAAAAAATAAAACTTCTAGAGGACTGTAATGGAGAGAGTGACAGCAATACAGTCATAGTAGGGGACTTTAATATCCTGCTGAATTAACTGGATAGATCTTCCACTCACAAATGTAATAGGGAAACAATGACTAAAGGACATACTGAATCAGATGGATTTAATGGACATTTATAGAACATTTCACCCAACAGCAGCAGAATTTACATTCTTCTCAAGTGCACATGGGACATTCACAAAGATAGACCATATGTTAGGACACAAAATAAGTCCCTACAAGTTCAACAAGATTGAAATCAAATCAAACATCTTCTCAGATCACAATGGAATGAATTTAGAAATCAAGTATGTAAAAACACCCCAAAACATTCAAACACATGGAGACTAAATAGCATATTGTTAAACAACTAATGGCGTGGTGCATGAATTCATGCACTGGTGGGGTCCAGCCTGTGGGGGTCATCGTGGGTGGGCTGGCTGGGGAGAGGGGCCACAGGCATTCTAGTCTTTCTGCTATTTGGTCTATTTGCATATTACCCTTTTATTATATAGGATGAATGGCTTGCCAATGAAATCAAGAAAAGAAACAAAAAACTTCTTGGAAACAAATGAAAATGAACATTCAACAACTCCAAATCTCTGTGACACAGCAAAAGCAGCACTGAGAGGGAAGTTCATAGCACTACAGGCATACCTCAAAAAAAAAAACAAGAAAAATCAACAATAAACTATTTAATGCTACAACTTAAAAAACTAAAAAGAGAACGGTAACAAAAGCCTAGAGTAAGTAGAAGGAAGAAAATAATAAAGTTTAGAGCAGAAATAAATAACATAGACTAAAAAAGTGATACAAAAAAGTCAATGTAATCAAGAGCTGTTTCTTTGAAAGGATAAACAAAATGGATGACCATTAGCCAGACTCCTCAGGAAACAAAGAGAGAAAACCCAAATAAAATCAGAAACGAAAGTGAAGTAACCACTGATGCCACAGAAATATAAAGGATTGTAAGAAAATACTTTGAACTATATGCCAACAACCTGGACAATATGGATGCAATAGACAAATTCTTAGAAAAATACATACAATCTCCCAAAACTGAATCAGAAAGAATCAGAAAACCTAAACAGACCAATAAAACAACTGATGAAATAGAAGCAGCATTAAAAAAAACTCCCAGCAAACAAAAGCCCGGGTTCACAGGGGAATTTTATCAAACATTCAAGAACTAACACCTATACTCCTCAAAGTATTCCAAAAAATCCAAAGGAAGGAACACTTCCAAACTCTTTTTATGAGGCCAGATTATCCTAATTCTAAAACCAGATGACATTACAAAGAAATAATTACAGGCCAATATCCCTAATGAACATATATGCTAAAATCCTCAACAAAATATTAGCAAATTAGATCCAGCAATATATTAAAAAGATCATACAGCATGACCAAGTGGGATTTATTCCAGGAATGCAAGACTGGTACAATATTCACAAATCAGTAAACTGGATACATCACAAAACAAATTGAAAGACAAAAATCACATGATCATTATCAATAGATGCAGAAAAAGCATTCGACAAAATCCACTTTTGATAAACACTCTCAGTAAAGTGAGAATAAAGGAGCATATCTCAACATGATAAAGGCCATATTGACAAACCTATAGCAAGCATGATACTAACTGGGCAAAACTAAAACTGTTTCCCTTAAGAACAGGAATAAGACTGGGTTGTCCATGTTCACTGCTCTTATTCAACATAGCACTGGAAGTCCTAGCCACCGTGATCAGACAAGAAGAAATAAAAGGCATCCGAACTGGAAAGGAGAAAGTGAAATATTCATTATTCGCAGGTGACATGATATTGTACATAGAAATCCCTAAAGGCTCTACCAAAACACTACTAGATTTAATAAATGAACTTGGCAATGTAGCAGGATACAAAATGAACACCCCAAAATCGATGGCATTTTTATACACCAATAATGAATTCCAGAGAGAAACTAAACAAGCTATCCCATTTACCATTGCAATAACAACAACAAAAAAATTAAGATAGTTAGGAATAAACTTAACCAAGGTGGTAAAAGACCTATATTTGAAAAAGTATAGGATGTTGAAAAAAGAGATAGAAGAAGATATAAACAAGTTGAAGAATATACCGTGTTCATAGGTTGGTAGAATCAACACCATTAAAATGTCCATACTACCCAAGGCAATCTACAGAGTCAGTGCATCCCTATTAAAATTCCAATAGCATATTTCACAGATCTAGAACAAATACTCCAAAAAATTATATGGAACTAAAAAAGACCCCAAATAGCTGCAGTAATCTTGTGAAAGAAGAACAAATTTTGAGGAATTATAATACCACATATCAAGTTATAGGAGGCGTATATACTTTCAAATTAGTATATTATGTTTCTTCAGCTATATCCCCAAAGTGGGATTGCTGGATGAAAAGGAAGTTCCATTTTTAATATTTTTGAGGAAACTCCATACTGCTTTCCATAGTGGCTGTGCCAGTTTGCATTCCCACCAGCGGTGCACCATGAGTTTGATATCAGGTAGTGTGATACCTCCAATTTTGTTCTTCCTCAAAATTGTTGGGGCTATTTGGAGTCTTTGGTGGTTCTGTATAAATTTATGGAATATTTATTCTATTGATAGATCTGTGAAATATGTCATTGGTATTTTAATAGGAATTGCAATGAATCTATATACTGCTTTGGGAAGTATGGACATTTTAAAAAAATTCTCACCCGAGTATATATATATATATTTTTTTATTTTATTTGTTTGTTTTGTTAATCCTTACCTGAGGATATTTTTTTCCCATTGTTCTTCAGAGAGAGTGGAACTGAGTTAGGGAAGGAGAGAGAAATAGAAACATAGAGAGGCATTGATTTGAGAGAGAGACATTGACTGATTGCCTCCAGACCAGAAGTGGGGAGCAAACCCACAACCAAAGTATATGTCCTTGACTGGTAATTAAACACAGGATCTTTCAGTTGATGCTCTAACTATTGAACAACACCGGCCAGGGTCCCTGTAAATTATTATTATTTTTTAATGATTTCAGAGAGGAAGGGAAAAGGAAGGAGAGACAGCAATATCAGTGATGAGAGAGGATCGTTTACTGGCTGCCTCCTCCATGCCCACCACCAGGGATCAAACCTTGAAAAGGAATCAAACATCAACTTCCTGATTCATATGTTGACGCTCAACCACTGAGCCACACTGGCCCGTCCCCTGTAAATTCTTCTTCTTTTCACTTAGCGTATTCTTCAATTCTGACTTTGTTTTTTATGATTTCCATTTCCTTTTTTATGCTTTTAAGTTCTAAGTTCAACCACTTTTTCCCTAAGTTCCTTGAGCATCCTTATAACCATTTTGTTGAACTCGGCATCTGGTGGTGTGCTTCTTTCCCTTTTGTTTGATTATTTTTGTGGAGTTTTGTTCTGTTCTTTCATTTGGAATCTGTTTCTTTATCTCTTCATTTGGCAGCCCCCCTGTGTTTGTTTCTGTGAATCAGGTGGAGCTGTTGTGTCTCCTGGGCTTGGTAAATTGGCCTAATGTAGTAGGAATTCTGTAGGGTCCAGTGGCACAGCCTCCCCACCACCAAGTTGGGCACTCCAGGTGCACTCCTCTTTGGGGCTGTGAACACCCTCCTGTGGTAGTTGAGCCTTGATTGCTGTTGGCATGGCAATGAGAGGGATTTACCTCCTGGCCAACTGGCTGCAAGCACTGGTTGCTACCTTGTGGAGGATCATCTGGGCAAGGGCACACCCTATATAGCAGGACTTTGGTGCCTGTTGAGTCCACACCTTGAGTGTGTCGCTTGTGGAAGTGGTTGTGTGGTGCTTCAATGTGTTCTGAAGCTGTCTTCTGGGTGTGCTGGCTCTGAGCCATCCCAGGAGGTGGAGGCCAAGATCCACTGCTGGCTATGTTCTGCCCAGGGCCACCCAGCATGTGCTCCAAAGCAATCTGCAGGTGCTATTTGTGCTGGGCTTGGAGGTGCCTAGGAGAAGCCAAGTTACGAAACTTTGGTTTCAGGCTGAATTTAAGAAAACAATCTCAGTTCTTCTATTGCTTTAAGAAGCTAGTATCTGTACCATAACGGCAAATGCTGTCAGTTTGAACAGCGTGTTATCTATGCCCTCTCTCCATGGCAGGAGTCAGTGTCACCATTCTAGCATACCTTCAACAAGCTGTGACTAGAAAGTGAAGGGAGAGCAAGAGAAATTTACAGTAGGGTTGGGACTGAGAGCCAGGGGAAGAGTGAATCTGCAGTGCGTGTTTCTGCCTGCGGGACCGGACACTGAAAGTGTACGTGCTTCCTTTCTCCGCAGCCCCGCCCTCGGAGGTCACCTATGGCTTGGTTGCAGCGGACATGCTCCACTCCTTGTTGGCAGCCTGCGGAGCGCCTTGTGTCCTGAAAGTGCAGAGCCTCTTTGTGTTGGAGGAAAACAGCTACCCGCTGCAACAGGACCTCTCCCTGCTGGACTTCTCGCCTGCCTGGGGAGCATGCTCCTAGCCCTCCCTGAGGCCAGTGGAGACCACTGAAAGGATTTGTTTCCAGCCCAATGAATGGCAGGGCTTTTGCTTGGGGTTTTTAAATACACAGGTGTGGGCAAAGTATGTTTACAGTTGTTCATATGAAAAATAATACAATAATAAATACATCCTATACAATAAAACTATTTCCTGGAGGGATTGGGCCTAAGGTGGCAGGTGGACTTCCCCTGAAGGGTTCAGACTGTGAGAGGATGCAGGCCGGGCTGAGGGACCTCCCCAAGTGCATGAATTTTGTGCACCAGCCCACTATATTATAAGAGCACACTTTCACATGCAACTATAACCCTACTTTTGCTCACCCTTGTATTTTATTAAGAGCTAAATAAAGAGTTAAATATGTAAAATAAAACATTTTTCTAAGAAAATTTTGTTGGGATTTTTGTTTTTATAATTTCCTCTCTTGCTTCTAGAGCAGCAGTTTTCAACCTTTTTCATCTCATGGCACGTATAAACACTAATTACTAAAATTTTTGCTGATCTGACAAAAAATAGGTATAATTTGATTCATTTACACCAGACAACTATTGTGTTGGCTCCTTTCATTTTAATTTGACAATCTAAGGGAAAAGAAGGCAGGGCCCTTGACTAAATAGTTGGATACTGCATGTTTTAAAAATTCTTGCAGTACACTGGGTGAAAATCACTGTTCTAAAGAAATTATCTAGCAATAAAGGCAATGTTTTCCCGGGAATTCAAGGTTCACTTTCTACAGTCCTTGCCACAGTCCAGGTGCTGGGTGAAGTACTGGGATGCAGGTGTAACACTTCTCAGGAACTCCTTTCTGCTCTATTCTCAAACTCTAGTTTTCCGTATTCCTCTTTAGTAAACTCACTATGAGATGATTTTCTCATCTACATAAGCCCATGTTTGGACAAGTTCAAGATGAACATGTCTTTTTATGAAGAATTGAAAATGATGAAGACAAGGCCATGTTTCATTTTACAGAAGGAGGAAGTGCCACATTGTTAATTGGGATTTGAGTGCCTTATTGAACTGACTTACCAACATTTAGCAATTTATGTTCTCATTGTGTTTGTCGAAGAAGCTCATATAAAATGGTAATCACCAGTGAGGAAATATGGAGTGGCACTTAACTTGTAAATATGGACGGATTATGTTGTGACTTAATGGATTAATAATATTGCTTGAAAACAACTAAACACAACTTGATGAAATTAGCAAGTTTATTTAACTGTGTTTTGCTAAATTCCTATAGTTCATTGAAATTATTTTCTCTAACTCAGGTTTTATTCCTCTTTTTAAAAAAAGTTTTGATTCTCCCCAAAATAATATGCAAATATGTGTATGGGACAGTGCAGACAAAAGTTCATTTTTTCAGTGGAGAGGGTCCATGCCTTTCAATAAATCCTCAGAGGCATCTTTGATTTAAAAAAAAAAAAAGATAATTTCTGAGTTAATTTGGGGGAAAGACAAGGAGAATAGACCAAAGGATTTCTGAGGTTTTATCTAGCACCTATAAGGTGGATAGGGAGCTGTCCTGTCCTGGCCAGTTTGACTCAGTGATGAGTGTTGGCCTGCAGACTGAAGGTTCACAGGTTTGATTCTGGTCAAGGGTATGCACCTCGGTTGCAGGCACAATCCCCGGGCCTGGTTGAAGTGCACGAGGATGTGGCTCTCTCACATCAATGTTTCTTTCTGTCTCTTCCCTTCCCTTCCACTCTGAAAATCAATGGGAAAAAATCCTCCTCCAGTGAGGATCTCCCCCATCCCGGCCACACCCAGGAATCATCCTCTGAAACCAGGTCAATCCCGTCACCAACCAAGCAGTTGAGTTCCTGATACTATATGAATTAAGAAGTCAATATATATAACATTCTGAGGTGACTCAGGTTGGACATTAAATATTGTGCTATGACTTTTCTCCTTATGCAGAGTATCTGTTTGCAGAGTGGCTTCCTGGCTTGCTGCCAGCCTGTGCATGGTACATGCTTATGAGTTCAGGATCTATGACAATGTGAATAATTCAGATGTTTACAATAAAAACACATAATGTTTACAAAAATACATGAATACATGAATTCACTGATGTTAATGTTAAACTTTATGGAAAAAATAGTCCTTTGAATCTTTGGTGGTTAGAAATTAAAGACCCCAAATCATGTGCAATAAACAGTAAATAAAGTTACACTGAATGACAAAAAAAAAAAAAATATACATTAGGGGCCAGGAAATGTTCAAAGAACTGGGGAACCATTCCCAAATCAGGAAGGGAAGTCACAGGGTGTATATTATTGCTATAAATATAGTGTTATCTACTACTTACAATATATACAATGTAATGTATCAGATGCCTTCCTAGCGCATGAAGTATGTATTCTCATATAGTAATACTGGTACATATGTTATAGTTATGGCAGTATGTCATAGCCTATCTATATTAATAAAAGGGGTGATCAGGCCAGGAGGGGAAGGCAGGAGTGATCAGGCCAGCAGAGGGGTGCAGTTGGGGGCAATCAGGCCAGCAGGCCAAGTGGTTAGGGGTGATCAAGCATGCAGGCAGGTGAGCAGTTAGGAGCCAGCAGTCCTGGATTGTGAGGGGGTTGTCTGACTGCCAGTTTAGGCCCAATCCCACAGGGGTCTCAGATTGGAGAGGATGCAAACCAGGCTGAGAGACACCCCCGTGCATGAATTTCGTGCACTGGGTCACTATTCTACAATATATACCGTATAAAAGAGCCAGGATCCATAATGTTTAAAAACAACCAAAGGCTCATCTGAACACCAGAAGTCAGTCATGCAGTCAGTGCTAGGTTGCCGTGGTAACCCAGCACTGACTGTGGAGCAGGCCCGGAGAGAGGCCCAAAGAGAAAGACAGGGTATGATCTGCAGCCTCCAAGGCAGCTGTTGATCAGCCATTGCCACTCTCTTTCTCTCTGGGCTTTGCCAGTAGCCTTGTCTCTGTTTCTTTCTGGGCTTTTGTGGGAGCTGCTGATCAGCCCCACCTCTCTGATCAGGCACAGAGATAGGCCCAGAGATGCTGACTGGCATAGAAACTGACCAATCAGAACCAAATCTGTGTGAAGTGTGAGGAATCAATGGCTGTCTAGGAGATGGAGCTTTTGACGCTGACTGACATAGAAACCAACCAATCAGAACCAAATTGGCCAGCAGGAAGGGCATTTGGGGGCAAGATCAGGCCTGCAGGGGAGGACAGTTAGGAATGGCCAGGCAGGCAGAGGCAGTTAAGGGCAAGATCAGTCTGGCAAGGGAGGGTAGTTAGGGGCAAGATCAGGCCAGTAGGGGAGGGCCATTGGGGGTGAGATCAGGCCAACAGGGGAGGGCAGTTAGGGGTGATCAGGCAGGAAGGCAGATGGGTTAGGGGTGATCAGGCAGGCAGGTGAGTGGTTAGGAGCCAGTGGTCTCAGATTGCAAGGGGGATATCTGACTGCCTGTGGGATCAGGCCTAAACCGGTAGTTGGACATCCCGCAAGGGGACTTTGATTGGAGAGGGTACAGGCTGGGCTGAGGGAACCCCCGCTCTATACACGAATTTTGTGCACTGGACCACTAGTCCTATCTAATAAAAAGGTAATATGCAAAATTGACAGTCACTCCAACACACAAGATGGCCTCCCCCATGTGGACACAAGATGGCCGCCACAAGATGGCCAACAGGGGAGGGCAGTTGGGGAGGAAACAGGCAACCAGGAGAGAGTAGTTGCGGGGGGGGGGGGAGAGGGAGCCAGGACTGCAGGCGAGGGCAGTTGGGAGGACCTAGGCCTGCAGTGGAGGACAGTTGGTGGGACCTAGGCCTGCAGGGGAGGGCAGTTGGGGGGGACCAGGCCTGCAGGGGAGGACAGTAGGGGGGGGGGGACCCAGGCCTTCAGGGGAGGGCAGTAGGGGGGGCGGACCAGGCTTGCAAGGGAGGGAAGTTGGTGGGACCCAGGCTTGCAGGGGGGGAAGTTGGGGGCAACCAGGCCAGCAGATTAGGGCAGTTAGGAGTGACCAGACTGGAAGGGGAGGGCCGTTAGGGGCAATTGGGCTGGCTGGGGAGCAGTTAGGCGTCAATCAGGTTGGCAGGGGAGTGGTTAGGGGGTGATCAGGCTGGCAGGCTGAAGCGGTTAGGGGCAATCAGGCAGAGGCAGCTGAGCGGTTGGGAGCCAGTAGTCCTGGATTGTGAGAGGATGTCCATCTGCCTGTTTAGGCCTGATCTTGGTGGGATAGGGCCTAAATGGGCAGTCAGACATCCCTCAAGTGGTCCCAGATTGGAGAGGGTGCAGGATGGGCTGAGGGACAGTCCCCTCCTCCCCTGTGCATGAATTCTGTGCACCGGACCTCTAGTCTCTCTCTCTATATATAGTGCCAGGGACTGTAACACCATAATGACCAGTTGCTATGATGCCCACTATGGCCAGCAAAATGGCCCAATCAGGGGTTGGGGCTGGCTGGCCAACCTCCTGCAGCCCCTTCCCCCTGGCCTCCCACTCCTGATTGGATTCTCCCACTCTGATCAAGGGCGGGGCTAGCTGCCCTAATGCCCCACCCCCTCACCCTCCTGGCCAACCACCCATGACCCCTCCCCAGACTGTTGGCCTCCAATCAGCACTCCCCACCCCATTTGAGGGTGGGGCTGGCCAGCCCACCACCCACAGCCCCTCCCCATGGCCAGCCCTGCCCCAATCAGGTCTCCAACCCCCATCTGGGTGGGCCGGCTGGCCAACCTCCCACCATTTCCTCCTCCCGACAGGCCCAGCCCCAATTCGCCCCTATTGGGGCTGGGCTGGCCAGACCCCACCGGTGCACGAATTTGTGCATTGGGCTTCTAGTATATTCATAATTTTAAAAAAGAGGATGGTAGGAAACATTTGCAATACATCAAGTTGAAAGGAATTCCTACAAATCAATAAGAAATGCACTAGTAACTCAATACAAGTCAGTCAGAAACAAGCACTTCACAAAGGAGGAATGTCCAGTGGGCAGAACACAGTGTTGGACCTCATCAGCCGTGAGGGCAGTGCACATCAAGTCTCTCTCAGACACTGCTGGTGAGAATGAGCATTAGTACGTCAACTTTGGAGAACAGTATGGCTTTACCTACTAAATGGGGAGATATGCAAAACCCTATGACCCAACAACTTCATTTCCAGTTTTATATTATCCCCCGCCCAAGTGTATGATGAATCTCAAAACATCATGTGAAAGATGCCACACACACAAAATGCTTGCTTTCTGATTCCCTACATAAACTTTAAACCAAACCAAACCAAACAACCTACAGCGTTTAAGGCTGAATGCTTAGGCGGTAAAAGCAGAGAAGCTGTTGCCATAAAACCAGGTTAGCGTTATTCTGATGGGGAGGGAGAGGTGGTGTTTGGGAGGGGCACAGGGCCAATTCTGGGAAGGC